CAGTTTCCTGAAGGATTCTACACTACCAGCCAGCCCCTTCTGGAATTCATCCCGTGTCCCATCGTCTCCCAAACGCTCTACCTTCCATCGGAACACTTTCCTCTGTTTCTTACTCTTGATCTTTCTGGATCGGTCGATGTTTGCCCATATGAGGAAGTGGTCGGTCGAACCTATATCTATCGCACTTATGTGCAGCTCTGGGATCTGCGTGCTCCCCCTGTCTACCAGGATGTAGTCGAGGATTGAGTATTCATTGCAAACTGCCCGTTGCCTTGTGAACTCCGGCTTATCGCATTCCCTCCTACCGTTCAACACCGGGGGGGGGCGGCTTGTTTTACAACGTCGTTGCCAAGCGACGAAAACCCAACCCTGATGGCAAATACCGGGGGGGGCGTGGGGGCGACACCTCAGGGGCCGTTAAACGGCAACGTCGCCTGATGGTTCCATCCCAGGGAGTTGCACCTCATGCGATAACCTGACAGCAGTGTTTCCTCTAGCAGCAAATCTACCGCTCAGGTTCTATGTACTTCAGTCCGATAACGCAGCAGTACCCGCCGTTTGCCCCCCGACTGTCACTGATGCTCTCGAAAAAGACGAAGAACCTTCGCCGTCGACCGCTACGGGGGTTTGCCAACCCGGAGGAGGCGTTAGCGACACAAGAAGACTCTCGGACGTGACGACTTGGATGTCGTGCAGGAGTCTGCTGGACAGCATGGGCGTGGGGGACATCCGCCTAGTGCACTCGGCGGTGCCAAGAGGTAAGATGACCGGCGGCGAAAGGGGTGGGTGCGGAGAGGCCAGCAGCAGCACCCAAGAGACAGAAAACGCGAAATTGCAAGATGTCTATGGATAGAGATGGGTTGAGAAACATGAGAAAAGACACCCGTACAGCTGGGATATGCGCATGGCCCCTCCCTTTCTTGTGTGTTCTCGTGCGTACGCCGACTATCGTTCGGTGTTTCGCTCACCATAACAAAGGCTATCCGCCATCGCGACGCCAACCCTTGTGTTGGCTTGATATTTATAACCGTCACCCTGGAATACTCGATGCCACTACGTTAGAGCTGGCTGCTGTAGGAGAGAAATATCAGCCTGTAGCGCTTCCAGACAGCGATCGACTCCCTGACCCCCCCCCTTTCCCGGTGCACTCTCGTGTCAACGGCTCCATCAGCGAAGCTGAGCGTAATCGTCGACGCGTTGCACCTGTTTCAATGGCCGGGGGCGGCCGCGGCAAGGAGCCTCGCCGCCGGCGCTCGGTATCGGGCCGCGGGGGACCAAGAACAGGCCGGGCTCCACGCCTACCTGAATGCCGTCATCCCCCCGGGGGACGCGAACGAGTGGGTCATTCCTGTCGTGGGGGGGCAAGACCCCGGCGCCGCGGCCGAAAGCGGCGGCCACGACAATAACTCCTCCGACTTCTTGTCCGTACCGTGCGACGGTAGCTGGAGACGAGGCCGCCGCTCTTGCCAGGCGAGGGACGGGCGGGCGGCGGCGACTGAAGGGGGGGGGGGTACGCAGAGGGCAGTTCGCGGGGGAGTACCCTCCGCGGCGATCTGTCTCTCCGAGGCCATCAGCTGCGGGGCCCCCGCCTCCGGCTTGCGGGTGCTGTTGGAGGTGGTTCTGCCTCAGGAAACGTCGGCTATCGCTAACGGCACCGCCATCGCGAGCTGCAAGAACGGCGAGGATAACGGCTGTCGCCGTGGCAGAGGCAGCTGCCGCGGCGCGCTGTCGCCGCGTGCCGCGGGCGCGGGCAGGCAGCAGGCGACGGGGCTGTACCGGGCGATCGGGGCCCTCGTCGCGGCGAATCGCCGGAGTCCTCTGACGAGGCCCGTGGTCGTCCTAACCGACCTGCAGGCCTCCTGGAAGCTGCTCTGGCTGGGCGGGGCGCGCTCGGACCTAGCTCCGGCCGGAGAGGCGGCGGCGGCGGAGACGGCCTTCCACCATGCGGCAGCAACCACCGTCGACGGCGACGAGGTTGACATATTTGTGTGGAGGATGAGTCCGCGCGATGCGATCTCGGTCGTACGGTCCATGCTGGATGAGGAGGCCGTGGGGTGGGACGGACAGGTCTCGTGGGCGCCTCGTCAAGGTGATGCTGCTGCTGCTGCTGCTGCTGCTGCTGCTGCTGCTGCTGCTGCTGCTCCTGGGGGGGGCGGTACACTCGGCGACGACGGCTTTCACGCTCTCGCATGGGCAAACGAAGGAGCAGCAGGAGGAGGAAGAGGAGGAGGAGGAGGTGGAGTTGCGGCAGGAGAATCAAAGGGCCCAATGGAATCGCTGAGAGACCGGCATCTCGTCGGCCGTCGCAACTTCGGCCGGCCTCACTCTTGTCCCCGCCATGGGGGCTCGCGGGCGGCTTCGTCCGCTGCTGCCGCCAACGGCGGCAGCGGCGGCGGCGGCGGGGGGGTAGAAGCCTACATGGGGGGAATCGCTAGCACCTCGAGCCCCCCGCTGGCGATGGAAATGGCGCTGCGCAGGGAGCACGCCTCTTCCTTCACGGGGAATAGCTTGCCCGGGCAGTGGACAGCAACGGGGGGTAGCTTTGGGGAGGGCGGGGAGCTCCCGCCGAGAGAGTGCCGAGCCTTTTCGGCCGGCGTTCAGCACGCTAGTGACGGGTTAAACAGGGCGGCCGAGATGATGGGACGGCGGTCTACTTTTGCGAATCTCTACCCGCTCCATGGAGGAGTAGGCGGCGGCAACAGCGGAGGAGGGGGAGCGGGGGACGAAGGGTACTCGGTCGACGATCGCTTCCGGGGGCGGCTTTCGAACGGTAATGATCATTCTACCAACGGCGGCGCGACGCCCAGAGAGCATCGAGGCGGAAGCTTCAACAACGACGGCAGAGGCTCATCAGACAACAACAACACTAGGCAGCGCTCCTTTACGGCCTCGTCCCCTCGAACGCGACCGCTGTCATCGCCATCTGCTCCGGTTAACCCGCTCGCCGACCCGACCATCCTCCGACATCTCATCTCCTTCGCCGCGAGGAACGGCTTTCTGTTCGTCGCCGGGGTTTCCAGGAGCTGGAGGGATGCCTGGGGCGTCGAGCGGCCGCCGGAGACGGAGGTCGATGCGGCCGTGCAGTCGCCCTCTCGGCTGGGGTGGGCGAGGGCCAGCGGGCTGGGCTGGGGGCCGAGCGTGTGCGCGCGGGCTGCGTCGGGGGGGCACCTGGCGACGCTGCGGTACGCCAGGGCTCTGGGCTGTCCTTGGGACTGGACTTGCTGTGCGCTGGCCACCACGAAGGTGCGGCATGTGTGCGTGTGTGCGTGTGTGCGTGTGTGCGTGTGTGTGCGTGCGTGTCTTTCATGTTGGCATCGAACCGGTTGACCAATGAAAAGACGTTAGTCTCAATGCGGTTGAAAACAGAACAGGCCCGTGTGTGTGTGCGTGCGTGCCTTCCTAATTAGCATCCACCGCGCTAAACGCGTGACCAACGACAAGACGCGTGTGTGTGTGTGTGTGTTTCTTATTTGGCGGTGCTGATTGCGATGCTCGGGCGTGAATTGGGTGTACGTGTGTACGATATAGCCTGCAGCACTTTGCACCAAGGACACGGGAAGCAACGGTAAGATATGGGTGTGTGCGGGCGGGGTTGTCCGTTACCGTTCATTTGCGCCAGCAGCCGACTGACCAGACCAAACCACGGCGAACACACACGTGACCACAACTAGGTCGGTGCCGCGCTTGCTCTGCTGCCCCGACCTTCCTCCTACTGTAGTGTTTTCATCTTCTACCCTTTCTTATTACGGCTACCCGAATATTTGCACGCGCGTGCGCCCCCCCCCCCCCCCCCCCCCCCCCCCCCCCCCCCCCCCCCCCCCCC